TGCGTTCCCACTGACAGTTATGCTCCCTGACAAAAAAATTCACCTTCAATGTAAGCAACAACTGTTGCCTCGGATTATGGCGTGTGATAGCTGAATCATTCATAGGAAAAATAATCACAAACAAAAAACAGAACTGCTTGATATAACCAAATAGCAGGTAGTAACCTTATCGGCTATTATTGATATATGTATATCTATGTAACGTCTTGTCTTATGCGCTTAGATATTTTCCAAACAGAGAGCTTTGCGCTTTTCAATGGTCAAATTAATTCTCTCTAAGAGACGCGCCTGCAGGCAATCATGGTAGTTGAATTCATCAAAATAGTTATCCAAGATGATGATTCCCTGCAGGTGCGTCTCATTTCGGGAATTAGGCATTACCCTGGCGTAAATATTTTTCGAAGAGGGCAAACAGTTTTTGGTCGGTTGACAAAGCGTCTTCGTAAATCTTGGATGAAGTAGCTATTCTCCGGGTCGCTTCATGTTGCACGTGACATCGTGCTCCAGCTCTAACTCCGACTAGAGAACTAATGTGAAATCCATGTATTCCACTAGAACTCTGTATCAGACTTAACAAGCCAAAGTCAATTCTTAAATTTAATCTTAATTGTCACTTACCTTCAACAACTAAGGTGTCAACTATTTCTAACGACAACACTCCACCTCCTGTACCAGCACTGGAGCCCAGTCCACCGCCACTTCCAAAAACACCAGGGTTTTTGTAATCTCCATACGGCACACCAGTTACCATGGTTACTCTTCCCTTCCCACCACTACCACCATATCCCGCTCCTGAGCCATCTGAGGATGCAGGTCCAGACCCAGGCCCAGTACCTTGAAATATTGAAATTGTTTAAAGGGCACAATACTTATACAAAGGAAACTTGAGAAAATAACTAGAGACTGCCGTGCTCTGATTGGTCAGTCATTTCCTCGGGTCACTTTTATAAGCAAAGTGGCAGTTTCGCGATTTCAAGCTTAACTCAAGTTCTTCGATCACTCGCTTAACTTAAAACACACCGTTAAACTCTTATAATCAATAATTAGACTGACTGACGACTAACTAACTGACTGACTGACTGACCGACCGACCGACCGACTGACCGACTGACTGACTGACTCATTGACTGACTGACTGACTGACTGGCTGACGGACGGATGGACGGACAGACGGACGGACTGACGGACGGACTGACTGACCGACGGACGGACGGACAGACGGACGGACAGACGGACGGACAGACGGACGGACATTCGGCCTGACTGACTGGTTGGCTGTGGTTTTGGTTCATTGTTTGATTGATCAACAAGATCAGTAAGGTGTACATGTGTAAGCAAAGCTATGCAAGTAGAGTTGGTTTCTGCGATTTGAGATGTTGATGACATTATAATGTGATTGTAATGAAGTGTAAAGTAGTGTCCGTACTTGGAAGTTGTGTCCGAGATCAAACTATATGCAAAGAGACACAATCAGCAAAACCTTACCAGCGAGGTATCCTTGCCCATCAAGTGTCAATTTGCCGCGTGGATCTACCACGAGTGACTCAGCTTTCATCGTCAGCGATCGAGCTTCAAATGTTCCGTCACCCTCTATAGTCACCACTCCTTCGCGATAAACCGGTCCATGATCCTTAGTAACCTCTACCGTCCAGCCATCAGATTCATCTCCCAGCAGGCTCTTCAGGAGAAGTCGACTTGTTTTTTGCACTGTTATGCCAACAAAGTTTAAATTGCGTGGAGAGGACTCTTCAAAAGAAACGGTTGCTCCATAAGCCACCATGAGGTGCGCTTTAAAACCCAACACGGTTCCCCAGAAGTTGATCTCGGAGCTTCGCTGTATACTCGGATAACTTAAACTTTCCGCTCTGCGTATTTCTACAGTTCCGTTTGGTAAAACAAAGGTTGCGTTTTCGTAAATAAATGGCACCCACGTCACGTTGATCCGTTTGTATTCCGACGTTCCCGTCATGTTAAGTGTATTGAAAGGTGGCACGTGGATGTAACCAGTGTCATCACCATATATGGTATCCACATGCACTTGGGTTCCCGCGCGCGGGAAAACCAGTTGACCACCACCATAGACTTCGATCAGTGTAAAGTCGTAGACAAAATTGTCCGAAGGAGGGTTGAGATATGCTACGGCTCCTAAAGTAGAAAGGTGTGTTTAATAATTAATGTTAACAACAACTTTACATAACTACTCAAAGCCATTACTTTGAGTAGATTGTTACAGTACACACCGTCAGACAGGAAACAATATTCCAAAACGTTTTCAGCGTCGTTTCCAGGGATTTTCGCTTAGAATCCCAATTTTCCCTTCTCCTCAAAACCCAGCACTCCTAATTCCAATTCCATCTGGTATGTCCACCATTACTATGCCTTGAAACAGCTTGAACAAGCTTGAAAAAGCTTGAAGAAGTTAATAAAATCATTTGCTTTTTCTTTAAAGATCTAAGTTAACATTAACTATTGTTCAAAGAGTGATAGGCAAGATTTCTAGAGTGTTACAATCCAGTTACTAACCTGTGTATATGAACTGATCGTAATGTTTGCTAAGGGTAGCCTGCAAAACAAAAATATATTAAAAATAAATAGATGAAATAAGCACACTAAAAAGCACTTAAAAGTAAAATAAGACAAGGGATCATTTTCGATTTTCTGGCACTCCCCTTAAGCACTTACCAGGGGTTTTAGTCCTTTGTTGTCAATGCGTAAGTTTTTGACCACGGGCATTTTCCCATCCAAGTATATTACCCCAGGCCCTCCAGGTTCTACATTGCTCGCAGATCCTTTCTTTCCCCCACTTGCATCTGTTTGGTCGCTATGGAAACCGCCGATGACGTAGTTTACAGTGATTCTTCCTCCAGCGCCACCACCGCTATAATAGTTCCCATCACCACCTTTGGCCTCAATTTTGCCACTTCCGGTAAATTGATGACAGGTTGCCCACAAGGACCCTCCACTTCCGCCACCACTCGTCGAGGTCTGAAGGAGAAATAATATTACGTTGACATTCAAAAACTCAGTTAACAACATTGGCAGACGGATCTCCGGGTCACTGTTGTCTGATACAGGAACCTCTGTATATTGCGGACATTTCTTGGTCCTTGCTGGAAGCTGACCCGCTTAACGGACACCTTTTAAATTCGGACACTTTATATGATACTAATGGTGTGTAACTGCATGTAGTTGGTAGTTAAGATATTCTAAACTTACAGCGTACAGACATCGAGTTATGAATGCACGCGAGCGCTTGCTAAGCACGAAAATATACAGTAAATAAATATCTGCGGTAATAAATAAATACAAATAAGGTAGACAAAGTAACAAGTTGAGGAAAAATTAATAGGCTAATCAAACTAAAATTGGTTTAAATTGTTTACGTATAAGCGGTGGCCTCATGGCTACTGCGCTCGTCTCCGGATAATAATAATAATAATAATAATAATAATAATAATAATAAT